TCTAGAAATTTAGGAACTCTTGCATGATAATGTTTAACCTCCAAATATCAATATGAGGTACATGATATTATTATTATTATTATTACCATTTACAAAAGGGGAAACTGAGACTCACAGAGGCGCTTTGGTTTGTTGAGAGCCCCCAGCCCAAGTGTCAAAGCCACGGCACAGACCCGCACCCGCTTGACCGGTGCCCATGCTTCTTGCCATCATGTTATTCCTGCGGCTGTTAGTTAGGGTCCAGTAGGAGAGCAGAAACCGCTCCAGGTATTTTCAACAGGGTATTTAATACAGGTGATGGAAGGGATGCGCAGACAAATAAGCGAGCCATGAACAAAGTCAGGAAGTCACTACCAGCCCTAGGACTTAGAGAGACACAGAGAGGAGATGGTGTTCCCGTCTGGATGGATGGATGGGTGGGTGGGTGGATGGGTGGGTGGATGGATGGATGGATGGATGGATGGATGGATGGATGGATGGATGTGGGGACAAGGTGCCGCTCATGGTGCAGGGCAGGAACCACGGAGGGAGGAACTGCAATTACTGCCAAAGATGCTACTTGGGGCCAAGAGAGAAAAGGGCAGAAATACCAGAGCTTCTTCCTTCCGCCTGCCCTCATCTGTCGTAGTGCCTCCTGTTAGCCAAACCTACCCAGGCAGCAGAGAACATAGAAGTTGGGAAGTGTAGTTCATTGTGAAACAGAGCAATGGGGGAATGTTGGGAAATGGGTATGAGAGCATACAGATAAACAACCGGTACATTCTAGCATAAACATCATGAAATGATCCCACCGTACCTTTTACTAGGGCAGCGGGGTCTGGATACCAGAGAGACTTTTCAATATTAACAGTCTAAGAGAATTTATTTGCCTCGAGGAGGGGTGGGAGGCAGAATGTTTCCATTTCCAAATGAAGTTTAAAGCAGAGAGAGGCAGAAGAAATAAGGAGAGAAATTCGGTGTTCGGATAACCCTATCTTTGAGTACTTTAGGTTCTGTGAGGGTGGCTGAATAGACGCTCTGGGCCAAACAAGGGGACAGCACAGTCCTGGGTATTGGCCCTGTTACTGTTGTCTCCCCTGTCTAGAGGAACAGTCTCTCCCCCCACCCCACCCTCATGTTTGAGAGATTTGGGCAGGAAAACAGAGCTCCGTGTTTGCCAGGTAAAATGAAATCAGCCACAGCACTCATATAGAGAAGCAGCCGTGAACGGAGGCTGTGACACCCCCACCCCGTTTCCACTGGGAGAGAGGTTCTCCCCACGGTTCCCTCTGGAGGAGGCTTGGAGCTAAGCAGGAGCCCCTGAGTTAAAGAAATGAAGTCGAGTTAGGAAATTAAAGGACAGTTACCCAATCTTTCACTTTCCTGGTAGTAACCATTAAAAAGAGAAGCCTCCCTTCCAGGCCCCATTTCCTCCCTCGCTGGAGATCCAAGGTCGAATCTGCCTTCTGAGGCACTGCTGCAATTGCCTCCAAGCCAATTTACATCTGTTTTTGTTTTTAGTAAGTGCTTTATTCTTTTCAAAATCATCTATTCCCATCACAGGGTGAAGAAAAGAACATTTAGAAACCAGATGTTGTATTCACCGTAGCCCTTGCCCTTTGTTGGATCCCACAGAGGTTTAATCTCTATTCACAGCAAGGTGAGAGAGACACCGGCGTTCAGCTCAACTTTACGCGCGAAGATGCCTCACTGAGAAGAGGGCAGAAGCTCTGCCATCCCTCTGCCATTGTGACCCAGAGAGGATCATAGTCGGTGTGTGTATGGAGCCCAGTGGCTCAGCGCTGTCAGACCCAAAGCTCCCCTTTTTATAATGATTATTTTAAAATCTACCCTTTAATGTCCCAAAGTGAAATTCATAGATAATACTGACATATATAATTCAAATAAAAATCAAAATGATGCCTGAGCTGTAGTATCAGGGAGAATGAAAATGAAAACAATTTATAATAACGTACATTACAAGACAGAAATGCTCAGGCACAGCTATATTTGAAAGTGAAATGAAGTGGTCAGATGTTCCCATATGTGTGGCGAATCCCCACTAAGAAAGTTGCCAGCAGACCAATAGAGGTGGAGAGTGGCATCCATGGTTTTTTTCTAAAAACAGTGGGCAACACTTGGTGAAGTTCCACATGAAATAAAGCACCACCCTCCCCTTGATTTAACGTGGCCATTCCATTCCTGGAAAATCCAGCCGATATTAAAATCATGTAAAAATACTTTGAGTTTATAAATAAATTGGAGTTCTATTCTAGGCTTAGGTAATTATAAGTAGGTGTGTCATCTACATGAAATGTCTGGAGCCCTAACCCCTGCTCAATGAATGCCAATAACGCCCTCTTCAATCTCTATAAGTGACAACCCCAAATGTCCCTGCACCTTTTCAAAATGCCATTTAGGGCTGGCGCTGTACCCATCGGGAACCCTGGAGTGGGATGACTGAGGCCTTATTCGAGGGGAGGGATATAGGAATGTAGGTCTCATGAACCTTACTCCACAAGCCCGCAGTTTTATCTGTGGAAGCCCTGATTCAACCATAATGCTTGAGACGACATGCCTTTGATAAGCTGTCAAGAAAACAGTTGGTGTATAGTCGTCAGAGCTTTTGGAAAGATTCTTTATGATCAGCTTCTAGTTTTACTTATGTGGAAATGGTTTACTTCTGGGCTGTATAAGGGCCCAAGACATACCCTTTCTCATGGAGGTCTCCCGGGATCGGTTTACCATTAGACATCATATGCACGACTTGAGGGACTGTGACTGACACTGCAGTGTGAATGGAGTGACGAGTGACAGTGGGCAAGGTTGAAAACCCAGTTAGATACATTGGTTATTGAGCAGAAACGCTTACTTATCTTAATAATATTCTATTCAAAAAATAGCTTACCACTCAAAGATGCAATTAGCTATAAACCTGCCTGTAGCATGTAAAACCAAGTTGAACAAGAATGTATTGGTCGGTGTATGGAACAGTCCTTATGTCGGGACTGGAGCATGAGGTGACATAGTGAAAATACAGGTTTTGATGTCCTCGGACCTGGATTCCAGCCTGCTTCGACTGTGACCCACAGTGAGTTATGTCTTTGAGCCTCCATTTCCTCGTCTGTAAAATAGGGTTCATAATAGTGCCTGACTCACAGCATTTCTGTAAGGGCTGATGAGGTGATAGTAGGTAAACACCGTGGCATGGTGACTGACCCATAGGATTTCTGTAAGGGCCGATGAGGTGATAGTAGGTAAACACTGTGGCATGGTGACTGACCCATAGGAAGCGCTTGGCGACTGCTAACCATCATTATTGTTGGGATGCGCTGGCAGTTATCAAATAATGTCATTTTTAAAAAGGCTGTGTTTTGACCGAGATGACACTGAAGGAAGACAGAATTCCTCTTAGGGACAGAATTGCTCTTTTGTTTAGGAAAAAAGACCCTTCCGCCATATTCAGTAACAAAAGGTGAGCGGGACCCTGCCC